GTCTCGTGTGACAAGTTCACAGGAAAATCTTCGGATGAGCTTTGCCACAGGGCAGGCTGAGCGCCCAGTCAGGAGGAGGCAAGATATCTATCAAGGGATGGATGGATCAACCAAACATGGTCTACACATGCCAGAGAATATTATGCAGTCATAAAAATAATGATATTGTATCCTTTACAGCAAGGGTGGAACTGGAGTACATTATGTTAAGTGAAATAATCAGGCATACAAAGACAGTACCTATTGACATTTTTGTGGCACTGGAGATCAAATCCAGGGCCTTCATAACCGAACCACATCCCTAGCACTCTTCCAATGTTTTTTTGACAAGGAGTTCACTAAACCACTAAGTTGGCCAGCTTGGATTCAAATTTGTGATCTTCTTACCTCAGTTTCCCAGTGTGTTGGGATTACAGGTGTGTGCTCCCATGACCAGCGAACCTACTAAATATTTTATAAATAAACATTAGAGAGGAACTTGAAGACTCAAAGCCCAATGTAACAATAACTGAAGCATCGCTCTGTGCCTCCTAACTATCAACAATCACGTTAATACAAAATGTGTTAAATGTGTAAAGACGTGGACAGGTCAAGCAGCCTGACTAGATCATTACAGTGTGTTCATGATCCGATTTTCACTCTGCACCCCACAAATCTGTACAAATAGAATCATAGTTCATAGAAAGATGTAAAATTTTAAAATATACATGAGCTACACTGACTCTGCCCCGTACGGGCTACAGAAACTGAGGTCTGTAGAAATGAAACGACTTGCTCAAACTCTTGTAACACAAGTGATCAAGCCATTGCGAAAGAGGTCTGTGGTGGTCCTAGAGCGACCAGGAAATGTGGGGCACACAGGCTGTAGGGTGGACTGCAGGGGTCACCCAGGACTCAGGACTCTGCTGGGTGTCCTGAGACAGGCCGAGGAGCTCTCCATGCCCAGCGGGGCCCTCTGTGAAACTGGGCGACACGTGGCTCACTGGGTCATATCAGCCAGTCCTGTAGCATGAAAACCTCGCAGGTGTATTAACAGTGCTTAATGCAATAGTAAACATCAGTTCTGCAATGTCACTACTGTATTTTTCTTTCTCTCTTTTTAACAAGAGAACACTCTTATTTATTAAGCAAATTTTTCTTTCCAGGCACTGTGTGATATGCTTTTCATCACTGCGTCTGTGATGTAATGTTTTTATTCTTCATCATCATCATCATCATCACCACCACTGCTTCATGAAGGCTCAGACTGCTCAATAGAAGTGTCAACGCCAAACAAGACAGCGCCCCCTAGAGGATAAAGTGACACTCACATTGCATAGCTCTGGAGCAGTAATCCAGTCTCATTGGCTCCCAGAAGTCAGTCTCCTGCTCTGCCATGGCACATTCATTCTGACCACACAAGTCCCTCAAACACAAATACAACTTTCCCCAGACGCCCACCGCCAAGGTCTGTGTCCTTTTCTATCATCTGTATTACACGTGTCACGCACTGTCTGTGGTTCAGGTCTACAGGCTCCAAGCCTGGCCCACTTTCACATATATTGCGTGAGCTATTTGAAAGTGCATAATTCTGACCTCCACCAATAAGCTAAAGCCCAAATCAAAGGCTCTGGAAAGAGGACCAGATGTTATTAGCCTGCCAGGGGATGTGGATACACACAAGGTTTCAGCAACATTTGTCATTTACTTGGTCAGTCATCTACTCCCACTTGGCTGGGCAACGCATCACCTGGGGCCCCTACTCTGATTGCTTTTTCCACAATCCCATACATGCAGAAGATTTCCAAAGAACACTAATTCAGTAAACGTTTACTAACAAGGTGAAAACATCTCAGAGTCCACAGCGCAAGGGAGGAGGAGGCAGGTGTGGCAAACTATGGCTGCTGCGGCAAACTATGGCTGCTGCTGCAAAAGCCAGCATAGCTTCTGATTCAGCTCCAGTAAGAATCCTAACGCAGTGCACTCACTGGGCTGTGTAGTTAGATAACTCCACCCCAGAGGGGGAGAAATAGTGGCAGCAAAAGCAAAGAACACACAAAGACCCAGCTGCCCGAAACATGAATAGCCTGGCAAGGCAATCCTGCCAGGACCCACCGCGAATACAGATCAGAGGCAAGCAGAAAAGCTGAGACGAGCGAGGGGTACAGTCACGCTGCCCTCCCCTCTCCTTTCCTTCCCTCCTTCCTGCCTCTTTCTCTCCCTAGATCTAGAGTTATGCAAGCATAACTTGAGAAGCTTTAGGATAAAAAGGACAAATTCTGTGTAAAGATGGGGAGTCCCAAACACTGGCCTTGCAGCTGGGCCTGGGCTACATTGTGTTCATTATTCCTGAGACACGTGAGTCTGAGACCGAGACCCTTCTGCAGCTGGCATCCTGTAAGCTGAGCAGCTCACGAGCAAGAATCAGAGAGCAAACACTGGACTCTTTACTGGAACATGAGGGGGGAAAGTGGGGGTATGAAGTCTGTACCCCAAAATTTCAAATCTTGAACATCTAATCTTTTTTTTTAAACAAAAGGATATGACTTTGAACATAACTGTTATACTGCCCTTGAAAATTAAAGATTGCCCCTCGGGCATGCACGCTGCTAAAAAGTCAAGGCACACAGCTGAGCGTGTGTCGTTTGACAAATCGCACAGAGTACGTTTTCTTCCTTCAGACAGAAAGATAATTCTGGAAAAGACCTCAAGGGATGTTGGCCTGGATCCCTGATTCCAGGTTATGATTATCTAAGCCTGGAATCTTCGCCTCAGAATTTCTAGGGACGGAGCATTCATAATATTTTTACAGCCCAGTGGAATGTGTTTTTCACCTTGAATGCAGAAGCTCCTCCCTGAGACCAGCTGAAACCACCACCAACTCCCCTTAGTCCCCATGCCCTGCCCCTCTCTGGTTCGCTGTCCTGAATTCCTACTCTGATTTGCCTCTTAGCAGTAAAATAAATAAACACAACCCAAGGCAGTATGCAGAAAAACTAAGTGCATGAATCTTGAACTCTATACGCTTTTCAGAAAAATGATAGTTTGAGATTCCCAAGTAAATATTTCTCTCTCCTTACACACACACAGACACATGCTTTTCATGTGTAGATTGGATCTGTAAGTCTTTTTATTCTGTAACTGTTTTTTAAAAATTCCTTCCCATTTTAAACATAGACTCCATCAAATTAAAGTCTTTTCCCTACATTCATCCCTACTAACTTTCTCACATACTGGTCTCATGTTCCCTCAGAGGACCGGAACGCAAAATGATATTACTAAATCTCCTAAAAGATGTACAGGGAAGTGTATCTTTCAAATTCACTTTCAAATGCAAAGAGGAGTTGTGTGATTCCTTTACAGCATTGATTCACCAAAAGCATGACATAAAAAAGACCCACGGCCAGTCTGGGCACTCATTCACTCTTTCTAGATGCTTCTCAGCCACTGGCAACTGCTCTTGGGAAGCTGAGTTGCCAGCTTATCCTTACCAAAGTTACCACTTGTCTTAGACACGTTTTACTCATCGCTGAGTCAAAATACCTGATGCCCAAAGTTGGGAAAGGAAAGGTTTATTTCTTATAGATTTTGGAGGTTTTAGTCCATTTTTAGTTGGCTCGAAGGCAGGATGGCATGATGGGGCCACAGTTTATGGCAGCTGCAAACAAGAAGGTGGAAACTGACAAGAGAGAGAGTCATGCCTTCATCCTGCCATGACATTGTATGCTGGCTCCACCCCTATGTGGCTGTAGCACTGACACCATCAATCCAAGCAATAGACAATGAACTAGTCACAAATGCATAATGCAAATGCATGAGGCCTGGGGGCCACTGACATAAACTATGACATCACTGAAAGGTGCATTTTCAAGTGGACTCCTTTCTTGCCTAAATGCTCATTATAATTAGAACTACAGGCCCACTGGGTTCCACCATTCACTGCTTTCTCAGGGTCTCCTGGTCCACTGGCCTCTCTCTTCCCATTCCAGACATACCAAGAATATTCCTGCATCAGCACCCTCTGTTCCTCCTATCAGCAAGATGCTTCACAAACTGGCTCTCCCCTCCCATTTCTCAGTTGGCTGTTAAATTCCATAAAGACACTGAGTCTTCCTCATCCAGCACCCAGTGCCTGGCCAACAGGGAGCAGCCAGGAATCACGTGTGGAGTGAATGGACGTGTGTGAGGTTTTGTACAGACCACTGTCGCCAAGCCTGCTGTCGTCTTGAGCTTGACCACAGCTCTCCAAGAACTGCTTCTCCCACGATGAGACACAGAGACAGGCTGCATCCACAGTTTAGAAGAAATTCATCTGTGCACATGCATTTTCCTTACCCCTTAATATATTTTCACTCCTCAAAGTAAATTTCTGATGGCAAAATATACATAAAATGTATTTTATCATTTATCTCTGAGCTGATTTCTAGATTTAGCAACTCAAGCAGAAACAACAACATCTGAGAAAAATCTGAAAGCTTACCAAAATGATACACTTTGTGTCTAGTTTTGTTTCTATGTCAGTGTTATAGTTCACACAAATGAAACATGTTTTCTTACGGATTTTGAGGCATGAATATCAGTATACATTCTGAATGCAAAATCACCCCCCAAGGACCTAGAAAACACCATCTTTGGAAAATCTGGTTTTCTGCTTTACACTTTTCTCATTCTTTAAAATATGTTTTATTCAGATTCCAAACACAACAGGAGGAATGATCAGGAAGGAAACTCAGATTTCCACAGAACTACAGAATGTGCAGAAAGAACATCATTCTACTCATACATTTTAAACCTATCTTTCTAACATGTGTCCCACAACTACAAAAAAAATGTTATGTTATTAAAAACATAAAGTAAGGGGCTGGGGATTTAGCTCAGCGGCATAAGCGCCTGCCTTGCAAGCAGGCAGTCGTGAGTTCGATCCCCGGTACCGATAAAAACGAAAAAGGCAAAAAAAAAAAAAAAAAAAAAAAAAAAAAAAAAAAAAACATAAAGTAAAATGAGATGCAGATTCACGCTACCATCGTTGGATGAGTGTGTCTTGGCAGCTGGCTTCTATCTGTGAAACAAGCGTCAAGGCCACGTGTCCGGAGCCTGTCCCATCCAGAGAGCCCCAGCTGCCCGTGTGTCCGTACCTTGCAGCCACTGTGCGTCCTGGTCTTCATCAGCGGGGCGGTGGTGCACAGCTCAATGGCCTCCGGCTCGTGGAAGATGACGGCTGGGAGAGGTTCCTTCTTCAGTGTGAGGACATTCAATTTAGACTTCAGCATGGTCTGGAAGTGCTGAAAAGCAAATCAAGAAGCCAAAGGTAGTCAGATCATTTGGGTTTGTACAGAGGCCACCTGTACATCAAACTCAGTAGCAGAATCTTTATCTCATTAACTCTGCTTCGGCAAATGAGGCCAAGAGACATTTATTAAAACCTAAGAGGCAAGATCCTATTGGATAGTCAGATAACTAGTCAGATAACAACTGTGGGAGACAGCTGATTGCTATGCAAGTCCCCGAAAACATGGATTGTTGGTGGAGTCACCTCACCCTGGACCTTAAGTTTGAGCAGCTTTGCTAGGATATCATAAAGATGAATTCCTAGAGATAGCATCCATGCAGATTTAGCTACACCAGTAAACATCCTCAGAGGAGGATGGAATAGGGGCTATTTTAGAGAAAGTCCAGTTATTACAGAAGGATATGAAAAGTAGGCATCACATCTCGGCTCTGCCTGCCCCAGTTCTTTCATGCACCAGCTGTAGAAGCCTAGAAAAGTCACTGTTTCCCACTGGGCCATTTTTATCTGTTGTTTTGAGCCAGGGAAAATCCTTTCTATATGCCACTCTATGGGCACCAGTCTTGAAATATGCCCTTAATCTAGCCGTAGTTAATCACTACCATCCACACTGCTCCATCCAAGGCCGTGACCTTCACTGGTCCATTATCACAGCACACCAACTGGTCCCATCAATTTCAAACTTGACCCTACGCATTCTATGCTACAGAGGAAACAGAGGGACCCTTCCATACTCCAGTTGTGGTACACAATGCTCCTGTTCAAATACTGCAAATCTTTCCATTTCCTTAAGGAAAAATCCCATATCCTCACCTTGGCCATTAAGGCCATGCATGATCCAGGGGCCCCACTGCCTCCCAATGGACTTCTTATTCTTATAAGAATAAGCCAAAGACACATGGTCCTTGGGACCTCTGAATATGAAGATCATGATCAAATGTCATCTCATCGTTTTTTATCAGTATTGTCTAATGTCACACACACACACACACACACACACACACAGAGCTGTTTTCATGGGCCTGTGACAATCACATCCTAAGCTATGCTCATGCTTCCGGTTTAGTTTAATGCTTTTGGTTTAAAGTCACCACCATCTCAAAATTCTTCCTCACTTTGTCTCTGAACTTGTGCTTTGTGTGTGAAGCCCAGTGGGCCAGTAGCACACTTAGGAGCAGAGGAGAATCTATTCACAACAGGAGCGTCTCCCACCCTTGCCACCCTCCTGTGCCTGTGGTGACACAGTCTTCTGATGGCCCCGTGACAATCAGAAATTCAGCGAGAGCCAAAGTGAGCACATAGTAAGCACGTCGAGCCTCTGACTAAGCGAACAGGGGCAAAGACAGCCCAAGAGGCCACCCTTCGGGTCCCAAAGATTCTTCAAATGCAGAGCGAAGTCATTTGAGGTCTAAGAGACACGAGTGATGAAAGCATTCTGCGTGATCCTGTCTTACACTACTTCCTCATATTAAGCAACCATGTACACAGAAACGCAATGCCACAGGAGGAAGGGAAAGGTGGCAGCCACGGGGCCCCTCTTCCAGTCCTTCCTTCCTTCCTGATTGGAAAAGTGGAGGTGAGCTACAGTATTTGATGCGCCAAGAAGTGAAACAAATACAAACAAGCTAGTTTTGTGCAGCATTTTCTCTGTTCCGATGAAACCAAACACAGCCTAAACTGGAAAATGCAAATTGTGCCATTTCGATTATCACATTCTAACCTTGGCATTGAAAGTGAACGCGGCAGAATATAAGGGTGCACAGGTCGTTCATGCCACTAATCTAAATCGTCCATTTTTTTCTTTACTTAGCACAGCACTGGGTAGCAAATAATAATCACAATAAAACAGTTACTTTTCCAGAGGTTCATAAAAAAGGGAAAGATGTTCTGTTTCAGATCACTTAGCAGGATTTTTCCCCCTGTGGTTTTGAATAGGAGATTGTGAATTTTCACTTTTTAGGGGGCTTTGAAAATCAGGTAAGCAGCTTGGCACACACATCTGCTCACCACTCTCTAGCTCCTTCCCCTGCTTCGTTACTCTTATCACTCATTTACCATCCTGCTAAAGTTATGTTTTGTTTATTCTAGTATGTTCCATGAAAATATAAGAGCTACAGGAGTCAAAACTGTTTTATTCAGTGAAATATCCCACCAGCCCAAAACACAGCCCAGCACACCACAGAGGTCTGAGAAATATTTGTGGAAGGTAATAAAAACAATGCAATAAAAGTACAACATGAACCACAAATTTAAAAATGATGATCTCTGGATCAAGGTAGATAGACTGTCCCTCCTCACTGCCCCATCCAAGGGGTTCTTTCTGAACCTGCTATAGTTTACAGAACAGAAGAGTAAACACAGTGAGTAACAACACAGAGACATGAGCACCTTCATCTAAGTCTAAACTGCCAGAAACAGCCCCTAAAAAGTCTATAAAATCCAACATAAGGCTGCAGAGGTTTGGGAATTTATAGTGGGACAAAGCTTGTTTTTCACTAGTCTTCCAAATGAAGACTAGAGCTCCCAACTGGTCATTTGGATGGCCAACTCTTTGCATCAATTCGGACTCAGTTATTCAACCGAACCCTAAACCAGGCGTTGTTGTGAAGGTCTTCTGCAGATGTATGAAAGCCCATAGTCAGCTGAGTTAAGGTAGGGGAGATAATCCAGGTAGAGCTGACTCAGTCAGTTCAAAGATCTAAAGAGGTGAGCCCAGGCTGCCTACTGAAGAGGACGCTGCCCCAGCAGATGCCAGAGCCTCCCCGTGTCTGAGTCTCAGTCCATCTTTCCTGAAAGTCTTCCTTACAATTTCAATTTGGATTTCCTGAGCCAGCTCCTATAACAGCAGGAGCCAACACTTGTAATAAGTTCATTGATATACATCTCCTACATCTGTTCTCTGGTTGAACCTTGATAGACACAGCTATCAAGTGAAGTTGCCAGCTCTGATCCTTTCTAAATGGGGAAATCAACCTTACATTTCCTAGAGTATTGGTTTGGCGGGGGACAGAACAGGAAGAGAGAGGGAGAGAAAGAGAAGAGAAGGAAGAGAAAAGAGAGAGGAGGAGGAGGAAGAGAAGGAGGGTGGGAGAGAGAGAGGAAGAGCGAGGCTTCACATTAATCTGCAAGTTTCACTCTGAGAGACCAGGCGTTGTACACTGGTGTGCACACCGGTGCTTCCACTGCTTGGCAGAGGAGTTGAGAACCCACAAGGCAGGTCACCGAAAAGGCAGAAACTGCAAGCAGGAAAACGTCAGCCAGCTTCAGCACAATGTGCCGTGGGGCGTGCGCTACCCCACGCTCCAGAACCCAGCAGGCACGCACTGACTCACCCCACACACCTGCCTCAATGCCTGTCCTCCACCAGCACGGGGTCAGCTACTGCCAGAACAGAAAGAAACTGCCAGGCTCTGCGGAAGGGCTCCTCACACCTGGTGGAGACCCAGTGACAGGCAACTAACACTACAGGAGTACATTTAGACAGCTGAAAGGTTTTGTCTACAACACAGGAAGGCTGAATATAGGAAGTGAACACAGGAAATGCCTTTTTTTTTTTTTTTTTTTTTTTTTGAGACAGGGTCTCTCTATGCAGTTCAGGCTGGCTCACTTTGTAGTCCAGGCTAGTCTCGAACGTGCAATGATCCTCCTGCCTCAGCCTCCAGAGTGCTGGGATTCCTGGAATGCTCGCCCCACCCCACCCAGCTAGTGTCTTTAATGTTTTACTCCTGTGGTTTTGCCTTTCTTGTTCACTATAAAATGACAAAGGTAAAATAAGAAAATTTAAGAATACATCTTTTTATAGCAAAGGAACATTGTATAAGATATTATCCCAAACAACAGCAAACATTTAAATAAAAACATATTTACTACAGTAAAAGACACATTGCTTCTGTGCCTTGCGTACACTTATTTCATTGATCTTGCCAATTTCTGAAGTGGTTCTGGACACTAATTCCTGAGTATCTTTTCACGGCTGCCTCCATGTCCTGAATTAATTCAAAAGTTTTACAGCAATTTCTGTCAAACGAAAAAAAAAAAAAAAAAAAAAAAACACTACACTGGCCGGGGATTTAGTTCAGTGGCATAAGCACCTGCTGTTGGTAAGCACAAAGTCATGGGTTCAATCCCTGGTATGAAAAACAACAGCAACAAAAACATTACAGTGCCTCCTTATCTACCTTATTCACCAGATGTGGCACCGCTGTGTAACTTCTGATTCTTCCCCAAGGTCAAAATGACCATGAAAGGTAAATATTTTGAGTCAATTCCGGAAATCGACACAGACAGGACAGTGCATCCAAAGACACATATGAAATAGGATGCTCAGAAGTTCTTCTGGAAGTCACCAGAATGATGGTACATGTGAAGCAAGAGGGAGTATTTTAAGGGGATTAAAGGCAATGTGACTATTACTGGAATTTTTTTTTAAAATCTAAACATTCACTGTAGTTTTTTACCACATATGTGACTGATTTGCTGTTGGAAGTTTTTACTAGTAGAAGTATGAAGACCACTCTCCCCTCCCCACGTATTAGTACACACTGCCTTGTGGAGTGGGGCACCCCACAGCTACCATTGTGACCCAAAATGTATGTGACATTAACTTGGCATCTCAGTACCACACGTCCCTCGCCAAGGACACTGATTCAGAAAAAACTCAATGCTGACTAACAGACTCTTCTAAAAGAGGTAGGGTCATTGGTCTAGAATGAGAGTGCTGAGACGCTGCTGACCTTCTGACCCTTCAAGGTCATTCCGACAGAGACAAGCAAGCCTGAGAAACACAGCCTTGCCTTCCTTGCATCTCTGGATGCTGTTGTCTCTGAACTGTAGCTGCCCAGGATTACACCTAGAACACCAACCAATGGTGCCTGGTCTGCACAACTAGAGTCTAGTGATTCAAACCACTTTCCAAAGATTAAGTCACCCACGAAAGCAAAATGGAGCCACTAACAAAAATTGCAAGAAGACATCATCAATTGTAAACTGCAGACA